GTGTACACGATGGCCGATCAACAGCTGATCGTCGGTTTTGCGGTGCCAAAAAAAAATATTTGTACGCCTCATATTATATTCATATTTGGCAAATAAACTTTCAGATATATATACCTAAACTAATCTTTGTTATTAAAAAATTGAACTTTATTACTCGCAATTCTCTGGAAAAAACAACAAATTTTAATGAAATTGATAAAGTTGACCGATTTCGGAAAAAATCAAAATGGTGTACTACTTCGACCCCTGAGTGACCTGATTGACCTGATGGAAACGTCTCAACCAATCAAAAAGCATTTTATATGAATATTTTCTTAAGGCCTTTTGTTGACAAAAATACGCTTGGCTGAACTTGGCTAATGACACTAATTGAAGTGTGTGACGTCACGCATCGTGTGGTGCCTAACATAGCCTATCTTTTATTATTGCAAATTCCAATCGCTTAAAAAATCGGAAAATTGTTGTATATCTCCAAAAAATACATTATGTTGAATCATAAGCTAATAATAAGTTATCAATATCAGTTAATAAATTTAAATGTCACATTTTACAATAATTGCTGAAAGAATCCTTGTGCAGTTTGCATACTGATGTGCACAGTTTGAAACGACTTGGAAACAACACAGCAATTAAAAATGTGCAAAAGTAACAAACTGCACACAATACAGTAAGCGCCGCTCTCGAATAAAAAATTTCTATAAGCGCCACAGTGTTTATTCGGGGATTCACGTTACAGTTGAACTTGCCCAAGTCGAATCCAAAATGCCATTGAAAAATTGTTCGACTTCGATAAAATTTGACTTGATAAAAATCTTGATAACAGATTGTTAATTAATGGAAAACACAACAATTTGGCATGTAAAATAAGTTTGTTTGACTTGAAAATTATTCGAGTTAGGCAAAGTTAGCTTAGGCAGGTTTAACTGTACTACTATTTTTAGGACCTGGCTCCAGCTAGTATCGTAAAACTCCCCCATTAATTTCCTATGTACGTTTACTATAGTATGTCTTTGTTTGAGGAGATGACATTTCGTAAGCCAAATTTTTCGAATATCTCTGCTGCGGACATTTCGTAACTCTGTAGCAGTCTGGGCTACAAAGTGTCTGCCACCCATTTTTTAGGGTGCCAGACAAAACTAAAGATAGGAATTTGTGACGACCTCATTATACTTGGACTTGTTCCTTGGACTTTGTAACCTATCATTAAAATCAAATATACAAAATAATATTTTGGATTAATTTCTGATTTTATCTGAAATCCCCATGTGCAAGGATTTTGTGGTAATATGATTGGTGTTGATAATCCTAGCCTTAACCAAAGCAGATCTTATAACTAAGTTAATTGGATCCATGTCACTAATTACAAAGCTAAAGAAAATATAAACTTAATTTATTCAGAAATACCTAAATTGTTTTGACTTCTACAGTGTGCTAGATTTTTCACTACAAGCTAAAATATTTATTTTGTCTACCATGGATTTTGTATAATTGTAATGTATTTAAAATTTGAATAATTTAATAAAATTGCTGAGGTATATGCAAATGAATGCTCAGAATTAATGTATTAGTGTTTAATATTTTTTTTTAAATGTTGTTATGTTTATTCAAACAAGTTTGATTGTTGTAATATTAGGTTCTTCACACCACTCTCAAAGAGGTAAGGCAATGAGGGCATTGGATTTGCGTCTACGTAGAAAGCAACCGGTAAGTTTGCAACCTTTTTTAAACAATAATTTTAACATTTCATAAATACTGTATTTTAATTAATAATGGATATTTTAATGGTAATGTGATGATAGAAATAATGGTGATAAAGATAATATAAATGATAGAAACAATAGTAAATAAAATAATAATATTAATAATAATAAATACATTTCATATTAATTATACTATTAATCCATTGAAATTGAAGTTACCGCCACCTCGAGAGTTGAAGATGCATGAGGATCAGGAGTGGTCAGACGTGTACCCTACAGCAGCTTCTTTCAAGTGGTCCGCAGTGCCTCTTCCGATAAGAATGGGTTATCCTGTAAAAAGAGGCATACCACCACACAAATATGGCAATGCTGAACTTCTCAAGGTAGGTGAAAAGTAGTGTAGTGGATCTACAGTAGATATACAGTATAGTGCAATATACCATTTGTGCTTATTTTATCCTAACATAAGGTTGACATAATATGTCTTGTTACACTTTATAATTGGTAGAACTTCAACTACAAAATGATATTTTAAAAACTGTGTACTTAACAATAACATTATGAATGTAATTTATGTAGATTTTGAGATAAATTGTTAAAATAACTTAAACTTGTAAAAAGAAAACAATACTGTAAGAGTTGGTGGTGGAAAAATTGTTGAAATTATGTTACCCTATAATAATTTGGTTGTAACCAAGGAAAAGGAAATGCAGAAGAAAACACCACTGCTGCATTGTTTGATACCACTGTGATGTGATGTAATGCAAGTACACTATCAGCGATAAAGCGAAAATATAATAGTTTATGATACAGTACAAACATTGGAAGTTAAGTTTTAAAAACAATTGTCTAGTCAGTCTGGTCTAGAACAACAGAAGGTAAGCTGCTCCAGAGTTTTAGTGCTGCTATGTGATGGTAATAAGAAAGTAGAGGTCATCTGCTTTTAGCTATTTATCCTTGTAAGAAGCTTAAACCATTTTAGTACTGTTATAGAGGTTTTAACCACAAACTTCTGTCCTTTCTTTCAGATTCCAAATTTTCTACATCTAACACCTCCAGCCATCAAGAAACAATGTGCAGCTTTAAAAGGTAACTTTTCTGGACTCTTCAGCATTACTTTTCTTCAATTTTGTTCAACGAGAGTTAATGAAATATTTTGAGTATCTGTTTTTTAACATCCTGGGAAGTGGGTCACGGCAAATTGTTGGGGTCGTTGGCCAAAATGTTTGAGAACCACTGGTGTACACTAGTTTTTCCTGTTCATTTCAAAAGCCCAGTGGCATATCAAGGGGGTTTGTAGGAGACCATGCTTCCCCCAAAAAATGTTAGTACCCCCAGTCGTTCCCCTCCCTCAGGGGAGGGGAAAAAACAATTGCTAGCTAATGTTCCCTCATTTACACAATGAGCCCCAATTTCACCTTTGTACTACCTCCTATCAGTCCCCCCTCCCCAATTCAAGACTCCTGGGTATGCCCCCCTCCAATTCAAGGCTCCTAGGTATGCCAATGGACAAGCCTACTACTCGAACCCACATTGATATTATGACTATGGGTTGCAGTTCTCCATACTTAACTGCTTGGCCAATAGTTGTGCCAGCTAGTTAACTTTGGTAATATACAGATATATATTTGTATTATAGTTTTGACATAACAGGCCCGTAGCGTGACTTAATTTGTGGGAGGTTCGTTTCAGTGGAAAGTGGACCCTTTGGAAACCATTATACAATAACAAAACCACAACACTGGGACATGCCGACTTGAAATACTTCTGGCTTGTATGATCTTCGATATTCTGCAGAACATTGTAAATATATCTACAAATATCAATTTTTTTGTTTTTAAGTGCAGACCTTCAGTTTTTGGGCAGTTCGTCATAACCCCTTAACCCCACCTTCCCCCAACACTACAGGCCGACATAACTGTTATACTTTGAATCTACAGAATTATGTACACAATGGCCAAATGAGTTGAAAGAAGATGCTGAACTGTGCCAGAAGATGTTTCCAGTAGAAGTAGAAGTGTCGGATTATATTCGCTCGGGTCCTTCGGTCCGTCATCCAGATGCAAGGATTGTATCCATTAAGGTAACGCTCCATTCAGTAGCTCAAATTTCCGCCCTTTGCTGCAATATGGCTATGCCTCAATGAAAACGTATTCAGGGAGCATGTCTGATGTAAGACAGATTAGTAGGCCAGTGTTATATATTTGCTGTGCAAAAACTTAGGCCTGGAATTCAACCTGTGCAATGAGTACAATGTACGGGTAAATTTTTTTCTTAAATTTTGCAAAAAATTATATTATGATTTGTACATTATTTATCAAAATATTATCTCAGAACAGTACCTGTATACGAACAGTAGATAACACAGTGTTTGACTTTCTATTCAGTTATTTTGTTTTTAGGATTTCCGCTATGTTGATTAAGTCTTCAGACATTCCTGCATACTAATTAAAAATTAGATTTTTGAAAATATTCTTTTTTGTCATTAGGTGAGCCTGGATTCACTTCCTCTAGATAAACATGCTCGATGGAAATTGATTCAGCTAGTTGGTGAGAGATACAACAGAGAAACAAACACTATTACAATTACTACAGATAGGTAAAATATATATAATGATTGTCATTGTCTGGAATAACCTAAACCTCAATATGAGAACGACCTCAAATGTTCAAACTTTTAAAAAACTATTAACAAATAATTGAAAGTTACTTGCATAAGATAATA